CAAGAGCTAGTATCAATATAATCTAGTAATTTATCATACCTCTGTCTGTTCTAGTACAAAATGTTAAGTATTGTTTATCGCTTATGTCCGAGTACCTTGCTGCTCCTCGGTTTCTATTTTTTTCAGAATCTTGCTCTGAGGGCACAGCTATGGGACTTTTGACGTCTGGAACAAACTAGACGTATGCCTTCCCAATGGTCATAGTTCACACCGAGCGCTCTACAAGTCTATTTTATGACGACTATAGACATAAAAAGTTGCATTGCATGAATACTTAGCACGACCAAAATCCTAACACAATTATTCAGAGCTTGGATTTGTTGTGTAACGTGGACGCGATACCACTTCGGAGAATATTTTGAAGACAACTCACTATATCTGGAGGAATGAACTGATATTCACTCTTACGGACTATATTTATTTAGCATGCATATTGTAAAACAATAAATGTGTGGACGTGATGACATTCCACAACTAGTCTAAACACAATTGCTTAACGATCAATCTGATGAATGGAGGTTTAAGTCATTTTACCTCAATTGTCCCATCACAAATAGTTCAATTGTACTATTCATATTCAACATTAGCACTATTTTGGATTTGCCGTAGTGTTTTGCATTGTAGACAGTTCTATACCTCATTCACGTCGTTTCACGATCATCAGACGGCTCATTATCCGGCATATTATGATAGTGTGCGGCAGTGATGTTGAGAGACTCAAAACCAAATGATGTACTTCGTTGGAGACCTATGTAAGAGATATATGGGACGAATCTCGGTACCATATTTCGTAAAGCAGTGCTCTTACTGTAACTGAAAGTTACTACTAGTGAACTCCAAGGGTCAGCACTTCGTAATCACAACAATGTCTACTTCTATTGGTAAAAAGTTATGCTCACGTCTTAATCATTGCTCTGTATTAAGTTCGAGATTTTAGGGCATAACTCTCAACAAAGTATAAACGAGGAAAAACGATTCATGCTAATATCAAGGAGAAGTTTGATTTTACTGATGTTTTGACTATAAAAACATTTTTACACGAGGTAAGATTGATCAAGGGTTAAATCCATATTCACCCTTCATTAAGAGATGAAGCTAGAAGTCTTAGAGATTGTGGCTGTGTATTACATAATGTGACGACTAATTGGAGCTTGGTATCATTATCTCAAATATAGTGCTTAAAATGAGGGACCAAGTAGTCGGTCTCTAGCTAAAATGTTTTTATCTTAATGGTAGGTTATTGGTTGACTGCTAATCACTTACTTTCGACTGCCGACAAATAAAAAATTTAAATGTGACATCCACAGTGTAAAACTATGAAAGGGAGGGAAGCATAAAATAACTTAGTACAACCAAGAAGCCTGCAGTAATATGCAGTAGATTGAATTAACCTATCAAGTTAAGAGAAAGGAGATCAACAAATGAAGATCATGAACAATGAAACAGGAAAGTAAAGCACTTTATGAAGCTCCAGAATAGACAGGCACCAACTGTGACTATAGTCTGAATCGTCAACATCAATATACAGGGATGGGACCTCAAAGACTACCGTCACCATTGCCAAAGAAGTAGGGGTCTTCATGGGCAACCATCTACGCAAGATACTCCAGATTCATTGTTCAGTGACTTACAGCAATAACATGTCGTGGCAGAGAACAAAGCAGCCTCCGGCTGAAGAGCAAAATGTATATAAGGTACTGATCGTAAATATAGTATAGTTTACGGAAGTCATCAAACTGCTCCTTCGAATCCCAAGGGCAAAATAAAAGAAGAATATATGGCGCTGGGATGACCAGTGCATGACATCGGTTATGTTAAAAAAGCTAAGGGCATGGTTGGTAGGGCACTCCTAACGCGTGGTTTATACCCCATCGGTGCGACAGGTTCAATTGAGGTCATCTCAAATACCGATAAACAAACAGCTTTCGTTATTCGTTCCTTCTAAACGGCCTGTTTAAAGACTCCACTCCACGCCTGTTTATGATGCTAATAAATCCCCTTAATACTCATTATCAAATATTTCTTTTTAGTGTCCATAAAGTGTGAAATTTCAGCTATTTCCAAGTATTTTCTGGTTCATTTAGTGGATGGGTGATGCGTATAAGAGCATGATTTCCATCCAAGATTTCAATTCAGTCATCAAAAACTAACTACGCATATCTCCCACGTACAAGCTGTTGTAACGCACCTCAACTTGTATGGTGGGAATGTGAATTAAGTAGTAGTTAGAACTTTAAATATAACACTTGTGAAGGTTCTGAGTTGATATGGGACCTTCGCTTACCCCTCCCGAAGTAGCGTATAATATGTTTTGCTGTTGATGGAATGACTTGTTGAACAATGCATGAAGAAAGAAAAGCACAAGGCCACTAACTCAGACAAAAAGTTTCACTATTCAATATGGAAAGATAGAGAGTGTAAGGCCTTCATGAAATGAAAGAGCAAACAACTTTTTGTCTGTGCTGTTTTTATTCTGATAGAAGGTATATGGCTTTCTATTAACCACCTGATATAGGCTGCTTCAAAACTCACTCACATGATGGACGGAAAAACGTCAGAGAATGCTTAATGTTAAATATATGCTGAACTCTGAATTACAGATTTGCTAAGCGTTGACGGAGATATATCGTAACCCTATTTTAGCCTTGGGAAGTCAGAGTATTCAATACTTTCGAAAGGTCAAACAGGACTCAGAATACATTTGTTTGAGCAATAAGATACTTCTTAGATAAATCACTAATCACCTTGAATCGAACCACCATGTCTCATCTTAACTTGAGGATCAAACCATCAGTCAGAAAAAATCACTTTTGATCGTAAAGCATTATTTTAATATCCTTTAGGACGTAAATTCCGTTTTTACGGTGAATGGTACGACCTACAGCGTCATTAAATGTTTTCGGAAACAAATTTTAGCCTTTAGAAGTTAACAGAATTAGCACGCTTAGAATCGTGAAACCGCACATCAAGAAAAGCGACAATTCTATGCATTTAGTTCTTGACAATCATTAATATAATGCCACCTTTAAGACCAGATGTTCTCTCTAAATTATTTCTTAACAGGTACTCTGATGTTGCTCACAGGTTCAAAATGATTCTTCGGACACACAGGCGTATTCTCATTAGTGGTGGTAAACTAAAGTTTCAAGATTTGCGATGGCTTCGGAGTTTTTTCTAGACAAATATTTAAGCATTTTTTTTCAACAGCCTATAAGGTGAAGTATCCTCATTGATGAGTTCACTAATCATGTTGCTCGTCAAAAGTAGGCTTTCCGAAGACAAATACAACTGATTATCCTTCCTGCTGCAAAAATGTGAAAGTATAAAGGTGGAGCGGCTTCAGTAGTGACTAAAGAATTTACTCTAGCGAAGTAAAGTCGACGAAATGGCTCACTTGGAAGGGATTTGAAAAGACTTAGCAAACGAGATACCTATTAATTACCAAGTTTTAATTATTTAGCTGTTAAAAAACGGGATAACAAAATAGAACAGGGAAAGGGCTGAACTGGTATTGCATATAGCTCTGAAAAAGTAATTCATCTAAGTTTTTGGAGATTGCGAGTCTGTTAGTCGTACTATGTGACTTTCAATAGTTACTGAAACTGAATATATATAATTCAAAAATGTATGCTTTCAGGAACATTATTCACGGATAAGGAGTTCGCAACAGGAATTTCATTGAGTATTTTCACCGCATCATAATTCTAGCATTGAAACATTTAGCATCATGTGATATGCAAAAAATACCACTTAAAAAAATTATTAAAACTTCTCAAAATAACAAGAATCATCATCTTCTGAGATATTATTTGATGCCAAGTTAGTGATTGGTTGTTTGAATCAGTTCTGTATGGTCGCTTCTGGCAGTCAGTTTCGAAATGTCGAGAGTGTATGTCGGTCGTATACCTCCACGATGTACCGAGAGGGATATTGAACGGTTCTTTAAGGGTTACGGACGATTAAGAGACATCGTTCTAAAGAATGGATATGGTTTCGTGGAGTTTGATAACGAAAAAGATGCGGATGATGCAGTTTATGACCTCCATGGAAGGGACTTACGAGGTGAACGGCTGATCGTTGAGCACGCTCGCCTTCCTCCTGGTACTAGAGGCGGCAGCAGAAGGGCTAGTGAGGGTGGTGGCGGAGGTGGGGGTGGTGGCGGAGGTGGTGGTGGCAGTGGTCGCGATCGGTTAGTTTCATTGCTAATCTTTCATCTGTTACAGTAGGTACGGTCCACCAACTAGGACGGCACTTGTGAAACTAACTTATTCTAAATCATCTCTTTATATGAATTACTTTGCCTGTAAATTTTCTAGACTCTGGAATAACCTACCAGAACATATCCGTACGATTAAATCACTCCCATTATTTGTACGTTGCATCGATGCATATTGCTCCTCCGAAAATGCATTGAATGCTCTAGCACCCGCAAGTGTATCTCACTCCACAAGTGTTATTATAGGAACTTTAAATGTTTAGGCATTTTTATTAGTGCATTCTCTGGATAAAACCACCTACTCGCTGTCACTTTATGTTAATACCGTCCCCAGCTAGTTTAACTAATTTGAATATCATCAGCAGTATATCACTGTGTCACATGACATACGCATTTTGATAGATCTGTTTGGCATATTTCGGTAATTACTGCTTTGTTGTTCCGTGCTCTCTGTTTTCGTTTTAATTTCTCTAGTTGTAGATATTTATCATTAAATCGATCTGGCACACGAAATGACCTTAATTACATCGTTTATAAATCAACAGACAGTCCAGTTAAGAAATATTACATGTTCCCGGCTGATACATTGGATCGCTGTAATACCCAAACAACTACTGAGCTAGTAAACTTAAAACTCATAACACATTGTTTGTTCTGTACATATAATGATATTTATATCAAATTGATCATGCCTGTAAACTGGCGTGAATTCTGTAATTATAATTTTTTCAGAATATAAATTATTATTATTATTATCGTGTTATTGTTGAAAATCTCTCGTCGCGTGTTAGCTGGCAGGTAAGGGATTGTTGTTTGATTGCTTGTAAGAACTGCAAGAAGTAACTAATTGCTTGTTATCTCGAATTCAGTTACCGCTCGTTGACGTTCGGTCGTTTCGGGTGGCGTAGGACGCGTAGGATTGGTCGTTTTCCATGCCATGGTCAGTCGCCCAGGGTTGTTTCTGGTCGCGCCGTTCAACGGTCGTCCGGCCGAGCATGTGGTAACGTGGTTTCGTACTGTGGTCAGATCAAAAACGCGAGGTAAATTACTCGCGCGTTTTTAAGTACTAGGCTAGCTTAACCCAAATTAGTAGTATTTGTTAGCTTATTATCCAGAGCAAGGTTTTTCAGTTATTCATTCTTTTGTACAGGATCTGAAAGATTTGATGCGTAAGGCTGGAGAAGTTACTTATGCAGACGCGCACAAGTCAGCTAAGAACGACGGGTAAGTTGTGCAGTTTACCGTAACTCCCATGCTAGTATCGTCGAGTTTGCTGCCTATGCTGATATGAAAGAAGCAATTGAGAAGTTTGATGGCTATGAGCTTTATGGACGCAGACTACGTGTGTACGAAGATCGACCAGGTCAGAGGTCACGGTCTGGCTCTTATAGATCGCGATCTGATAGTCGTCATTCTCATCGTTCACGTAGTCGGGACTCGCATCGCAGACAGAAGTCTAGAAGTCCTAGGCATCGACACGACAGATCACTTTCAAGTGATAGACAAAGGTCTGAGTCCGGCAACGATTCGCACAGACGCTCAAGAGAGAACTCGAATGACATTCGATCTAGGAGTCCGTCACGCCGTTCCGGAACAAACCGTTCTAATGCAAGATCCATTTCTCATCACAGCAATAAGCGCTCATTGGTAAGTCTAGCTCTCATTCGAACTTTATTGTCGTTTAGGATGCTGGTTCCCGTTCTCCAAGCTGCAATGGTAGAGAGAATAGCATAAAAAATGACCTGGATCGGCGATCGCGGTCACGTTCTGTCTCACATTCACGTTCTGGAAGTAGATCACGTTCAGTGGAATCAAGGTCTCCTGGTCGCTCGCATACACACTCTCGATCCGCATCGCGGTCTCGTTCAATGTCGCATCGTAGTGAGTCCGGAACACCAAGACGTTCGGACGAAGAAATGGACGGCAGGAGCAACGGTGACCATGAGATCCGAGAAGGTGATTATGATGAGTAATCGCATTTAATGTAGACTCCAAGTCATTGTTATTTTACACGCATACTAACTATTCTGCATAAAGCAGCTTTTTTCATATCCAGTGGTTGAGTATTTTGAAATTTTTTTCTTTGGGGGGAAGCGCGATGTAGGTTTACGGCTTCATGGTTTATCCTGCAATATCATGCTTGCATTTTCTTTATTGCGCTAAGCTGTGTAGTCTCATTACTTCTTTCAGGATGTCAGATTGGGTCAGCGACATCCTCGTTTCCTTGATCGTGTTATCAGGTTCATCGCCATTCCTGATTGATAAGCGTCTGTCTAGTCCGCTTAGACGCAAGATGGTTCGGTAACTAAGAATATCATTGACCCTGGTGATTACTTTGATTTAGAGTTGATCTTTCATGTTAGATAGCATGCAGATCGTTGGAAGGCTTGTGTGATCGCTCGACTAGGCTGCCAAACAAAGTACCTAGCCACTGAGTGCGCTCACGCGTTTTCAAACAATCAAGAACTTTGCGAACCGCCACAGTTGCTGTTTTAATCGTCAGTCCCATTCTGGCTAAAGTTGCTCATCGAAGTGACCAATAGTTCAGTGTGCATCTCACGGTTGCTGCAGTTAGTTGCCAACTGGTTCTTCACTGTGTTTAAGGACTCGGTAGCGTTTGTCTGCGTCTTTCATCGTGACTATGCATGTCGCTTAGGGCTGAATATTAAAGGATTCGGTCTGTCGCGTTGAAGCTCGACTAGATCTCGCAATTTGTAATTATATAGTGAATATAGAAGCTGGAGTTGAGTGGTTTCGGGTGTACGATTTGGATGGAAGACCCTGGCTGTAACTCTCTAATAACACTCACGAGCAATATTCGTTACAGCTTGAATTTCTGTTAATAAATACCACTTATGGAGGCACTTATTAGTCTGCCTTAATAAAATTGTTCACTAAGGACCATTCTTAAATTGCAGCCATATCCGTTTGATCATGCTCACTCTTAACAATACCTCTCAATATGTGAACGCACTATATTAGTTCTCTACATCAGCATGTAAAGGCGCTTCCACACCCAATGATAACAACTGATTTAAGTGGATATCATCGATTTTAAGAGACAGCATTTGTGTGTGACAATATATGGACGCCAAGGTATCCGACATAAAATCAGCAAGTCACATAAAACTACATTGTACAGCCTTTTGATCCTGCGTGGTCTGTTGCAGCTATTCTCAGATAACCGCCTGTTTCTTGCAAACGCTGTCCGACTAAACGGAACAGTAAGGACTCGGAAAGATAGGGACACTCGTCGTCTGCCTACTCTCCCACTAACTGCATCTCAGATAATGTAAAAGATGAGTTTGACAGAAATCTTTCCGACCTTCTCCGAAAAGCTAGGCGCTCTGATGTGGTAGTAGTGGCTGGTGACTTTAATACTCAAGTGGGTAAACTAAGCGAAAGGGAAAGACACCTGGGTGGATCTTATGGTGTCACGACTCAAAGAACAGATAATGGCGGTCGTCTGTTGCAGCTATGCTCAGATAACCGCCTGTTTCTTGCAAACACTAACTTGAAGCATAAGGAAAAACATCTTTTGACATGGCGACCCCCTAATACTTCCCAACGTTGGACCCAAATAGATCACATCGCTATCAGCCACCGATGGAGGGGCTCGATAAAAGACTGTCGCTCATTCTGGAGCACATGCTTAGACTCAGATCACGCTCTAGTGCGAGCGCGTATTTGTCTACGTCTTACTGGACGTAGGAAAGATGGTACAAGGAAACCCCTTAGGGTCCTACTTAATGATAGTCAAGCTAAGAGAATATTTCAGGAACAACTAGAAAAACAGTAAGGCAGCCATGTATGTGATGCCCACCCCGAGGCAGCGTGGAATGACATCCGAAAAGCTGTGGAAACAGCAGTGATGTCTGCAAGTACGGTAAACCATAAGGTTAGGGAGAAACACTGGATCTCAGCAGCATCTACCGCACTGATAGATGCTCGAAAACTCATTCCATCTGGCTCTGAACATAACGAAGAGCGGAGTCAGCTTAAGCGTAAGCTGACTAGAAACCTACGCAAAGATCGTGAACAGTGGTGGGTAGCGAAAGCAAGAGAGATGGAAAAGGCAGCGGCAATAGGTAACAGCAGGCAACTGTTCAGACTTGTTAAGGAAACCGGTATTAGGAACCCAACTGTTAGCGAAACAATCGCAGAGAAAGATGGACGTATTATTCATTCTCAATCCAGGAGATTGGATCGATGGGCAGAACACTTTAGGGATCAGTTCAACTGGCCTTCAGCCACACTTCGGTTTCCCACGATCTCCAGTCGACCTGAATGGCAAGTTAATGTAAGTCCTCCGACTCTTTACGAAGTTGAAAAAGCTATAGGAAATCTGAAGCGTGGGAGAGCAGCAGGCCCTGACAGGTTTACCTCAGATTTTTAAGGATGGCGGTCTAGTATTAGCAGCGAGATTGACTGAGGTCTTAGGTAGAATCTGGGAACTGGACGTAATCCCATCTGACTGGTCTCAATCACTGATTGTGCCAGTCCATAAGAAAGGACAAAAGTCCTCCTGTGACAATCACAGAGGAATTAGTTTGATTAATATAGTGTCTAAAATATTAGCTTCAATAATACTTCGACGTCCAACCAAAGCTCGTGAAGAGCAGACTAGAGAAAACCAGGCTGGTTTCCGACCTGGACGTGGTTGTATAGATCAGATATTCACACTACGTTAGGTCCTAGAACATAGACACACTTTCAGACGCCCCACAATGATAGTATTTCTTTACCTTAAGGCGTTATTTGACTCTGTTGATCGTGAGGTTCTATGGCAGAGTTTGTCACTGAAAGGAGTACCAAAGAAGTACATTGATCTTATAAAGGCTCTCTACTCGAACACAACTAACTGGTCGAGTGAGAGCTTATGGCGAACTGTCATTAGAACTGATTACCTCAAGTGGTGTTCGTCAGGACTGTCCACTCTCTCCATGCTTGTTTAACTTTATCGTTGACGTGCTTTTAGAGATGACACTTTCCTCATCTAAATTTCCGGGGGTTGAACTTCTACCGGGAAATTCACTTGGTGACTTAGAAATGCCGGTGACATAGTTCTATTTGGTAAAGACACTGATAAAATGCAGAGTCTGCTGACCACTCTAAGCAACAATACAGGCATGTTTGGCATGCTACTCTTCCTCTCGAAATGCAAAATGTTGCTTCAGGATTGGGTTGCGTCGACACCCGAACTAGTGATAGGGAGTAAAGTAGTTGAGCGTGTCGGCCGCTTCACTTATCTTGGAAGTCTCATCAGCCCTTGTGGTCTGGTGTGTGACGAAATCTCAGTACGGATACAGAAGGCTCGACTAGCTTTTGCCAACTTGCGTCATTTATGGCGTGCGTTTTTTTCTGGTGTAGGAGTATGTTGGAAGAAAGCTAGGGGCGGCCAGAGCAAAACATGGCACGAATCCATGAAGTCACTGACAAGTGAACTGAGTCATGTTGGTAGGTGTAGACTACCTGGTTGGGGACCGCGAGATGATAGCAACCGATGGTTAAAGACCTTGAATGACATGGCTCAAAATCGTTTGCAATGGCGCAGGTGCATCCACTCTCTGTGTTCTCTCAAACTCTAATCTTCTGTATTCTTATTGTCTTTTATTCTTCCAAATTTATTCCACTGGACTATACTCCTTAAATAACATCATCAAACCTTAATGTTTCCTATAACTACTTATACTTTCAGTACCTCTACCACTAGGGGATTTGAATCGATAACTGAATCTTTGTGCTAATGTGGTATGGCAACTCGAACTGATGTACGTGCGTACGAAGTTCCACGTTGTTACTGACTGACTGACTAAGGAACTACTTGTGAGGTCCTGTGCGGAAATATGCTCTGTGAATGTAATGGTATTCCGCTGATTATGTGTGATAGTTACCCAAGGCTGTGCAATGTCTTGCACACTTCAGTCGGATGTCTTTACTTAATTTTAATTAGGATACAGTGCTCGAAATACGGTCCCGATTCGTAGTGGGACGCCTTTATTCCGGTCCTCCTCGGCTTATTTTCCGTCGTATGAATCCTCGCCACCAATCATGTAGGCTTCAAATATATCTCAATTATTGAAATTACTATCTCCACGAAACCCCTTCTGATTCTAATCAACACATGCTCACTAGTGACCGACTTCAAGAGGGATATCCTGGAGTTCTAGTGAGAAGTAGTGACCAGTGGAGTTTAACTGGGTCAGTTGTGAGATAGTAACTCACCGGTGACAATGGTGGATATGTCGCTAAATTTCGTGGATTAGTTTAAGTTAGACATACCTATTGGATGCCGGCTCAGTGGTCTAGTTGGCTAAACGCCTGGCGCGAGACTGATAGGTCCTGAGTCCGAACCCCGCGATGCGGGGTCGTGAATGAGCACTGTTGAAGAGTTCCACAATAGGAAGAAACGGTCATCTAGTGCTTCCAGGTTTTCCATGGTGGTCGAGCTTCGATTGACTCACGATCTGAATTACTGAAATTACTACAATCTCCGCAAAACCCCTACTGATTTTATTACTAGGTCGACATCTAAGCCTGAGTATTGTCGTGGTAAGATAAGTAGGATTACCGGATAAGTATGATACTCGTTCAAGATAAATAGGTTGGTCCGAGTTAGCCTCAGTTAGTGTACTATACATACGTAGAATTTATGGGTCTGTCGTAAACTTTGGCTTACAGTAGAGATTATCTGGTCTCTAAACCGCAGTACAACATAACTTACGGCAATTTATGCAATAAGGACTACTACCACACTAGTCAACAAACAGTAGAAATATTGTTGTCAGTATCCAATCGGTTGTTCTTATTGACTGAAGTAGCCATCGACGTTTGTAGAATTTCTATTTATACTTTGCATTCTTGTAAGTGACAGCTGAAACTATTGGATAACTGCTCGAAATCGGTTGCAGTGACACATGAACGTTTATGTATAATATAATCTCATATATCATCGCTTTATCGAGTTGTATTTTATGTTTAGTCTTTTAAAGTTACTTTCAGTGACAACACCAATAGATTGACTTATTTGTTGGGAATTTTACTGGATTCTCGT